GGCTGGCTGGCTTGTGGTGCTGGGGGATTGAACAGCGGTCCCTGTGCTTTGCTAAGCTTGTTCTAAATAGGTGCTTTAGACCACTGAGCCATCTCACCAGCCCCTCCTGCCACTTTCTGAAGCAGTTCTGGAAGTCTTCTATCATAGGAAGGGTGACCCGAAATGCAGCTAGTGCTGCTGCCAAGTGCCGCCCCACACAGAAAGGCAGGCTCATGGAGACGTCCTGGAGCATCCTTACCTACACATCCGGCACTGCGCTGCTTCTGGCTGTCCCCTAAAGTTAAGTGAGGCAGCCACAGTGGCACAACTAAAGACACTCACAAAAGAGGACTTCTAGAACTGCTTCAGAAAGCAGAAGAATGATGGGATGACCATGTTTGAAGTGGGGGGAGGATGCATTTAGAGGGGGATTATTGGCAATGTGTCTTTTATTGTAATAATTCTAAAAAAAGTGTCCATTTTTTTGATCATATCTTGTATATTCATTAAATATTCAGGAGATCAGATGGTGACACAGTCTTAGAGATAGTGTAGCAGAAGTAGACTGGAATATTTGATCCTTTCAGAATAGGATGAAGATGCTGCCATGAACAGTACTTTTTTATGCATAGCCTGGTGGACAGCGCATTTTGAGGTCCATGTGTGTGTCACTGGGTAACTAGATTTTCCTTCATCTCCTTAGAGAAACACGTTCCAGGCAGTTCTGGCCTCCTCAAATGCCAGCACCTATGCCATTTTCCTGTACCCCCAAGGCGGTCTGCAGTTCTACACAACCTTCTCCAAGAAAGAGAAGAGCCAAGTGCCTGCTATGGTTGCTTTCAGCCAAGGTTTAGTGGGATTGTTCTGGAAGAGTGATGGAGAGTATGATGTATTTGCTAATGATAGCAAGTCAATTGAAAACTTGACCAGGTATGCTTTTATTATGCCTCAGTAGATTCTCCTCTGATAGTATTGTTTTATTATTTAACTAAGTAAAGTGTCTTAGGCATTATAAGTCATTACCTAAGAATTATCCTGTGGATTTAAATTTGATATTTAGTTAGCTTTCTTTGATTTTTTTTTTTTTTGGTGGGGGGACAGGGTCTTGCTATGTAGTTCAGGCCTTGAACTCTAGAACCCAGTCTGGCCATAAACTCCTGGTGATCCTCCTGCTTCAGCTTCCTGATATTTAGGGGTTTTGTTTACGGTGCTGGACATGGAACCCAGGCCCTGTGCCTGCTAGGCAAGCCCTCTACCACTGAGCAGCAGCTCTAGCTTTCATAATATGAAATACTGTGATGAGTGAACTCAGAATGAACAGGTATCCTGCTTTTTAGGTATCATCTTCATTTAGAACAATTTTTACCATCACATCTATGAAATAGGAAGACATGAGTAGAGATCACTGAAGTTTGTCTCCTTGCCAGGAACCAGAGGCTAGCAAAGTGATTTTTTGTCTACAGTGAGTAAGGGGGGCATCTTACAACACTGAGCATTGCCCAGTGAACAGCGTTCTCAGGCTGTGTTCAGATTTGTCAACCCAGAGCCCAGACTGAGTCTTTTTTTTTAAGACTGATTCTTTTTTTAAATTAAAATCCTTTCTTTCCTGTTAGTCTTTAAGAAACAAAGAATGTCCCCTCCCTCCAGTTTCCTATTGTCAAATCTAGCCTACAGTGTCTCTGCTGTTACTTAGTGGTATGCTCGCAAATCCTTAACATCTGGTTTTATCATGGTAGGAGCCCTGATTCCTACCACTTGTCTTAATTTTTGTGGTGGAAAAATTCTTCTGTTGATTGAATTGAGGCTACTAAGCCAGGCATGGTGGTGTATACGTGTAATACCAGCACTTGGGAGGCTAAGGCTGGAGGATCATTGTGAGTTCAATACCAGCCTGGGCTACAAAATGAGTTAAAGGCCAATATGAACTGCCTAGTGAGACCCTGTCTCAACAAACAAACAACCCTCACAGGTTTAGAAAATTTCTCATACTTCATTGTGTGATCGTCTTTGACTGCTTACCTTCTTTTCACTGATGCATAAGAATATTAAAAATGAAAGGTTGGATTAAGCTCAGTGGTAGAGTGTTTGTCAGCAAGGGTGCCGCCCTGGGTTTGATTCCCAGCACCAAGAAAAACAGCATTAAAAGTGGTGAGGAAGTGTAGCGTAGGGTCATTCTGTTGTGTTTTACAATTATAAAATGCTGTTAGATTTTGTAACTCATTTGCTTTTCACCACACCCTTTGAACAGAGAAAGGACTTTAAAACTGAGGACATTAAGCTCCTCATACGATGGGGTTGAGGCTTTTCCTTAACCCACACCTCCATTTTTTCATTCTCAGCTCTCCTGACACCAAGTGTGTGCAGACAGACTCTTCCCTCACACCAGCCACTTACCCAGTTTTCTGGGTGCCATCTGAGTGCCCTATATTCAGTTTGATTCTGGCAGTAACTATGCAGAGTTAGGTAGACCACACAGGTACAGACAGGCCCTGCCCCATGAGGCTGTCCCCAGCTCATTTGCTTGAAAGGCTCTCAAAACCCAGAAATCACCTTACCCTCACTAGAGTATTAAAAAGAACACATCTCTGGGCCAGCCAAAGGGAAAAGACCAGTGTACGTGTCCCCAGTGCTACCACTTAGGTTCTTTTTGGGACTTTCGTTAAGTTGTGCATTTGGTTAAGTCACTGGCCACTGGTGATTGGTTCTCCAGCTGCTCTTACCTCCCTGGAGGTAAGTAACTATGCAGAGTTAGGACATCATCTGTAGGACGCAGCCTCTGAATGGCTGAACCTGCCAACATCTGGCCAGGTTGCTCTGGCCAACAGCCCCCAGTCTGAGGCCAGGAAGCTCCCTCCCCATGCTACTCAGCTTTTTAGCGTGCAAAACTACATTTCACCTTGGAAATTCCAAGGGTTTGGGGAGCTCTTAGGTCAGCAAAAAAGACTACCTGTGTATTTTCTGTTACACAGAACGGAAAGGGAGTAGTGGAAAGAATGAAAGTCTGACGCATAAATAAGCTTATAAGACAGAGTACCTAACCTAGGTCCTGAGGGTGTCCTGGAACCCTCCTCAGGAATGGCTGAGGGGGACCCTATCATAGAGTTGTGTGCAGTCAGACTCAGCATATGAACTAGCCCTGGACTGTGAACTCTGTGACAGCCAGGTGAGACAGCCACTACCTTCCTGCACTAGTCCCTGCTGTGGGTGGACAGGTGATCCAGGCACAAGTTTCAGGTCCACAGGGATCCCGAGAGCTACTGGTGGTGAATGCGGTTGCTAGAGGGCTACAGATCTATTTTCAAGACACCGTCCTTTCCTTTAGGAACAGCAACTCTGGGCGTCAGGGCATGTGGGTGTTTGAGATTGGGAGTCCAGCTGCTGCCAAAGGTGTGGTTCAGGCGGAGGTGAACCTTGGACCCAACAGTGGAGCAAATTATGAAGGAGAAGTCGAAGATTATGACCAGATGACCACTCATCTCGGCCTAGAGGATGCCTCAACCCCATCTTTGCCCTTCAAGATTTCAAAAAGGGGAGATACTGACTCATACGATGTGTCCCATGCCCTCTCTCCACGCCACGAGACTACCGAGGGCTCCAGATCTTTCCAGTTGCCCGTGTTTTCCCAGCAGCAGGTCTTCCATGTGGAAGAAATGGAAGAAACAGGAAGTGGTAAGACTGTTTAAGTGTCAGTTGGCTGGCGATGTCCTTGGAAGTAGTATTACTGGGATGGAACACTTGGATGTTCAGGAAGGAGCACCATTACTGGGGTGAAAGCATTCTAAGGTAGGTTAGAGGGATGAGAGCCTGCAGCTGTAGGGTGCAGGCAGGGAGGTTTGATAGCAGCTCAGGCACAGTGTTCAGGGTCTCACTACTAGATTGGATTTGTAGTGATCTGCCTGTTTACAGCCTCCCAAGAGCTGGGATTACAGGCGTGCGCCACCATGCCCAGTTTTAATTGCCTGGCATGCCCCAGGGCGGGCTGGCATGGTAGGCCCGGGGATTGAACACCCAGCCCCTGCGCCTGCTTTCAGGTATCTTTTGGGATTAGAACTATGGAGGTAGCCTTCTTTCAAGATTTTTTGCATTTTATTCTGATCGATTGATGGATTTTTTTTTTTTTTTTTTTGGTGGAACCGGGGATTGAACTCAGGCCCTTGTGCTTGCCGGGGAAGTGCTTATTCTACTGAGCTATCTCCCCCAGGCTGGCCTGGAATCCATGGCAATTCTCCTGCCTCAGTTTGCCGAGTGCTGGGATTATGGGCATGTACCACCACCCCTGACTGTTTTAATGCTTTCGAATTATTTTGAGAGCCAACTGAAATATATTCAATCCAGCTGAAAAAAAAAAGAAACATTTTAGAAGTTCTTTTGGCTATTTCTCTATTTCTGCAGCTTATCTTTGACATTTATTTCCTCTTGGTTTTGGAATTAGAATTACTGATTAGTTTTCCTCCCAGGTTCTTTCAGTTTTGGAGCTGATTTGTTTTGTTTTTGGAGCTGATTTGTGAAAATTAAAAATATGAAATAACCCAATTCCCCATGAAAAACACAGTTTTATGAAGCTGTTCAACTTTTGTGTATCAGGCTTTTCCTACATTTTGAGAAAAAATAGTTTGAGGATACTTTAATTTGCCTTATAAGAGATGTTCAAGCTAAACTGTGTTCATTATTTTTTTCTCCTGAGGTTTTCAGTAAAATCCACCCCTTACTGGGGATAAGTCAGTGCCCTGCCACTGATCTAGATCCTCAGACCTTTTGTTTTGTATTTACTTTTTAATTTTGAGACAGGATCTTGCTAAATTGCCCAGGCTGGCTTTGAATTTCCAATCCTCCTGCGTTACTGTCCTAAGTACCTGAGATTATAGCTGTGTACTACCATACCTATTAATCCAAACCTGAAGCAAGTTTTCAATGACTTTTTACTGCTTTTGCTAAGAAATTATCCCAAGACCCTCAGAGAAGTATGTGTTCATTCTCTAGTAGTCACTCATTTTTTTTCTTTTTACTTACTTTGATATTTTTCGTAGCAATGGTCAGAAATATTGGTTCGTAGTGAGTACCCCAAGCCCTGGACAAGACTGCTCACTAGGTAATGGGTGCTGTTACTTCTGAGGCACAGGCGAGGAGAAGTAGCATCTGGTGGAGGAAGAGGACTTGGGCCCTGCCTCAGCCCCTGTCTGGCACCATATATTCCATGTGCTGGATTCTGAGCTGGTGCCCATATCTCTCAGTGTGTGGCACTGTGCCACAGGTCACAGAGCCTTCTACCCCCAGGGCAGAGTGTGTTTATCTATAGATGTTAAATTTGGAGTCTCATTTCCACCCTTCCTGGGTATCTTTGAAATTCTCCTTTGTGGAAACACCACATTTAAATGAAAGCACAGTAAGCCCCAACAGTTTACAGTGGATTCTGGAAAATTCTTGGATGTGCATTTAAAATGAGTCTGTGACAGCTGTTTTTCTGTCCCCATATCCCAGTTATTTTTCTGCATTTGTGATAAAGGTCAGTCTTCTATGGCCAGCAGCACATTCCGGATGTTACTGGGCTTTACCTTCAGCTGGGCAGGCCTTCATGAACCAGCTAAGAGCTGGGGCTTCCTTGTTCAGCAGAACATCACCAGCTCCAAGCCCCGTCCTTATACACATGTGAAATTCCCTGTGGAGAAGAACGTAGGGTTGATAGAACCTACTTGGGTTTAACTTTGCTTTAATCTTCACTCAAAGTCACAGACAAGTAGGATCCCTATTCCCTTCAAAAAAAGTTCACCCCTCTTATGCTTTTGAACTTCATTCCAAATTAATTTGCTCAGAATCATTAAATTTAATGGTCTATGATTCTAATAAAATGAGCTTGGGAGGAGGAAAGTTAAATTAGGGAGGGATGCTTTTGATTCTTGCTTGGATAAAAGGCCTTTAGGCCAGTTATAACTGAAGGATTAATTCTCATAAGCTTTTGAATATCAAAGTTTTTGAATTATTCCCTGGGGAAAAGGCAAGGGTTAAAATTTAAACAAACAAAAAAAAATTAAAAATTGAAGGTTACAATAGCAACTTTTTTTGTTCTATGTATTTTAACACAATAACAGAAGATAATAAAGAATATACATTTGAAGTTCCCCCAAATGTGAAGCTGATTTTTCTGACCACATTGGATGGATGTTCTCAGATTTATGGTGGGTGACGGCCACCTCATGTTGAGTCAGTGACACTGAGGACCCTGAGTCATAGCAGTTTTTTGGTTTTTTTTTGGAACCGGGGATTGAACTCATGTCCTTGCACTTGCCAGCCAAGCGTTTATTCTACTGAGCCATCTCCCCGGCCCGGTCGTAGCAGTTTTTAATAGCTCACGCTTGTCATTTCTCAATCTGTTAGACCTGTTGGCCCCCAGTGGCTTGAGCTCTGTCACTCTGTCAGTAGCTATCAGCGGTGGGCTCTTGTCTAGCAAGGTGCTCCAGGACCCAGGCAGATGGGAGTCCTATAGGGAGAAGCCTCCTGGCCTGGAGTGGTGTGCGGTGGTGACTCTGTGCCCTTGTTTTCTCGAGACAGTGTTCCCCTACAACACAGATTCTCAGCAGACGTGTGCCAACAACAGACACCAGTGTTCAGTGCATGCGGAGTGCAGGGACTACAGCACGGGCTTCTGCTGCCGCTGCGTGGCTGGCTACATGGGCAATGGCAGGCAGTGTGTGGCCGAAGGTAAGCGGCGTCCATGTGTTCTACTGTTAGGTGACACTGTTATAGACCTGACTATCTTAATGGTTATGAAGCAGGATTGTAAAAGGTTGGTTTAGACAGAAGTCTGCAGTGGGTCAGATTTATTCCCATCATTCTCCCCCCATTCCTGTTTCTTTGAGCCCCTGAAATTAGCCTGGCCATACTAGGGCACAAAAGATGTACTCAGCGTGTCCTGAGGGCCAGACCCATAGTGGGGCCCACACCCAAGGGGATTCTCTAATAGCTGAGGTCAGGTTTCAACTCCAGCCCTCAAAGGACCAGCCTTTGGTCCTTCCATCTCTGAGGTGGCACATCTGAGATCCTGGTGACAGTTCACTCAGACCTGGGCTACACAGCAGAATAAAAGACAACCCTGCTCAAGATCCTTTGTCCTTCATGTGCCTCCAGATTGCCTCTCTTGTTACAAGTCACTTTCTTTGTGTGCTTAATGAGGAATTTTAATTGCTTGTAAATTTTGATTAGATAAAACCCAGCTGGAGAAATGGATTCTCTGTCTCAGATTCTTCCTATAATTACCATTTAGTAATTTTTAAAAATTATCTTCAGCAATAAGAGAAAATCCAGCACACTCTTAAAATTAACTTTGGAGGATGTTTTAGACTTCTTTAAAGTATTTTCTTTCAAACTTTCCCCAAGCCCCCATGGTGTGCCTTTGCTTCTTTGTTTTAGGCTTGGCTTTTTACCACTCCATCCTGTGAGAGTTTTCCAAAATCCACAGCATAAACTAATCCTGAAGGAGCAATCTCATTAGCTTTTTTCCTCCCAAATAGCAGAGCCCAACATGCTGAGCAGTTTTTGTTTTTCAGCAAACTGAGAGGTGTCGGACTGTTCAGCCACACACTTTAACATTATATGCTTGTCCTGTAATAGTTTTGTGGTTAAAACATTTGTTGGATTCTTGCTACTTATAAAATTCTTTTCTAGCTCATTTAGTTGTTTGGCCTGTTTAACTTGGCTTTCTTCCTTGTTTTTGTAATTGTTCTTGGGATGCATTTTTTTGCTATGAGTCTGCAAACTTCAGCGCATTCCCCAGTGGAATGACACAGTGTGTGTACAGAATTACTCCATGTCAAATATGCCTTGGCTGGTCAGTGACCCTACTTAGCAACTTGGAGCCATAGCTGACGGTGAACTTTACCTTAAACCTAAGCAGTCCAAGATGACCTTTCTTTTACTTATTTATTTTTTCCTTAAATTCTTATTATTCTGCCTTTTTGAGATAGGGTCTCTCATGCAGTTCAGGCTAGCCTTGAGCTCACTTTGTAGCCCAGGCTAGTCTGGAACTCACAGTGATCCTCCTGCCGCAGCCTCCCAAGTACTGGGATTACAGGCATGCACCACCACATCCAGATTTTTCCTTTTTTTTTTTTTTTAAATCTAATTCACATACCTTTTGAACACATGTGATTTGATTGATTTTAATATACAGTCATAGAATTGTGCAAAAAGACCCAATTCTAGAACGTGGGCATCACCACAGCAGAAACAAGCACTGCACACACCCCTTGGAAGTCACCTGCATCTTCCAGCCTCCCCCTACCCTGCCCCAATTTATTTTCTGGTCCCGTGGGATTTCCTGATTTGGAGCGTTTCTGTCAGTGGAATTGTACATCACGTGACCTTTTGTGTCTGGCTTTTTTCACTTGGTGTAATACTTTCAAGTTATATCCATATTGTGACATGGGCTAATATCTTGTTCCTTTCTCTAGCCATATACTATCCCAGTGGATGCATACACCGGGTGTTGTCTATGGATCCTTTGATGGACATTTGGATTATTTCCCTTTTTTGTTATTTTACATAAAGCTGCTAAGAACGTGTGCATAATTTTTTGTGTGGACATATGTGTTCTGTTTTCTTGATTATATATGGAGGAACTGGAATTGCTGGGTCATATGGTAAACTTCAGTTCTCCTATTCGAGTACAATAAAAGCAGCTTAACTCCCCTTCTTTCCTGCTTGTCTTTTATACTTTTGTAGTATTGAGGTTTAAACCCATACACTTTCCACTGGGCTACATGCTCATCATTTTTATTTGTATTTTTAAAGAGGATAAAAAAATAATAAAAACAAAAGTAAATATTAGAAATGATACAGAATTTCACTAAACAAAATAATAGGAATTCAACAGTGGTTGATATATTGCATATTGTTGTCTTCAAATTAGTCATTCAGATTACCACATAAAAGCGTGCAAAATTTGTCCAAAAAAGTTATAAAACATTAAAGAGGAGAAGGAAAAAATTAAGTATTAGCTGCTCGTTTCAATAGACCAGCTAGAATCTGCAATACTGTGTATGCACATAGATATTTTATTTTCCCTGCTTTCTTTTTTCTTTTCCCTCATCCCAGTTCCTTCCCTTTGAACAGTTTTTCCCTTTCATAGTATCTATTGTACTTTTCAGATTTTATTTATTCTTTCAGACTTATGCTAGTGAGATGATAAGATGTTTATACATGTAGGTCTGATTATTTCACTTGGAAGCATGGTCTTTAGTTGCATCCATTTACCTATAAAAGCCTAGAGTTTATCTCTTTTGATAGCTGAGTAATATTCCATGGTATAAAAATGCCATATCTTTTTTATCCATTTCTTAGTTGATGAGCATTTGGGTTGTTTCCAAGATTTAGCTATGACAAATTGTACTGCTCTAAACATGGGTGCACATATATTGCTGTGATATGATGATTTCGGTTCTTTTGGAAAAATACTGAGGATGGGAATAGCTGGCTTAATTGGGATCTCCAGTCCTAGCTTTTTGAGAAATCTCCACACTGATTTCCGTAAGTGTACCAGTCTGTACTTCCACTGACAGTGGAAAAGCGTTCCTTTTTCTCCAGAGTCCTTCCAGCATTTGTTTTTGGAATTTTTAAAAGTATATATTTATTTATTTGGCACTTAGGCCACCGAGCTATCTACCCAGCACTAGTTTTTGAAATTTTTGAAATTTCTGCATGTCAAAAGAAATCACCAACAGAATAAAAGGAAAACCCACAAATTGGGAAAAAATTTTAGCCAACTGTCCCTCAAACAAAGTACTTTTATCTAGACCATATAAAGAATTTTAAAGGGCCAGGGACGTAGCTCAGTGGCTTTAAGCTCCTGCCTGGGAGGTGCAAGGACCCAACTTCTATTCTCAGTATTACAACAACCGAAGAATTAAAAAAAAAAAAATCAGACCCCCAAAATTCAAAATCCCAATCCAAAAATGGCCATCTGAGATGAACATACACTTCTCAGATGAAGAAATACAAATGGCAAATAAATATGTAAAAAAAAGTTCAACTTCATTGGTCATTTGAGAAATGCAAATAGTTCAGTGGATTAAAGCGACTGCAGTTGAGACTAGACGTGGTGGTATGTGCCTATAATCCCAGCTCTTAGGAGGCTGTAAACAGGAGAAACACTATGAGTCATATCTAGTAGTGAGACCCTGAACACCCTGTAGACCCTTCCCTAAAATACAAAAAAAAAGAAAAAAACAAAAAAGAAATGCAAATTAAAACAACTCTCAGCTTTTTATATTTGGTGTCACTAAGTTGTTAAGTTGCCCAGACTGGGCTTGAGTTTGGGATTCTTCTGCCTCAGCCTCCCAGAGTGCTGAGATTATAGGTGTGCATCACTATGCCTGCTAAACTTAATTTGTCTACTACTTTTTTTTCTGATTAAACTGTAAAGATATATGCAAGCTACACATATTCAAACATAAAAGATATGTAGTATAGGAAATGTACATTTACCATACTGCCCTGACTTAACTGTTAACAATGTTCCCCCAGGTATATTGCAAAAAAAAAAAAGTGAGAATTCTGAGGGGGATTAATGTCAGTGCACCTTGTTAATTAATTAATTATTTGAAACTACTCACTATGTAGTTCAGGCTGATCTTGAACTTGTTACAGGCCTGTGCCTCCATGCCCAACCAAGTTTCTTTTTGTATTTTAGTAAGGGTCTACAGAGTCTCACTACATAGACTGGACTCAAAGTTAGCCTCCTGTTTTCAGCCTCCCAATCGCTGGGGTTACAAGCCTGCGCTCAGTCTCAAAAGCCATCTCAGTGTACCCCAGGGGTGGGGCCAGCACAGCAAGTCACGCAAGCACTTATTCTATTGAGCCATCTCCCTGGCCTTTAAATTTAAATATTTACCCTATATTAAGTCACCCATTGTAGTGCTCAGGAAGCTGGGGGCAAAGCACATCACTGTCTTTGTTTCTGACTCAGGCTCTCCACAGCGTGTGAACGGCAAGGTGAAGGGCAGGATTTTCTTGGGCAGCAGCCATACCCCCATAGTCTTCGAGAACACTGACCTGCACTCCTACGTGGTGATGAACCACGGGCGCTCCTACACAGCCATCAGCACCATCCCTGAGACTGTTGGCTACTCCCTGCTCCCTCTGGCGCCCATCGGAGGCATCATTGGATGGATGTTTGCTGTGGAGCAGAACGGATTCAAGAATGGCTTCAGCATCACTGGTAATTTATGTCTGACATTAAAGTCCATAGGCCACACAGCCGTGCCTGGGGGAGGCCTGGGAATGCGGAGGGGACTGTGTCTGCAGATGCTTTCTGATAAGCATTCCTTCTGTGGACAGAGGACCTTGTGTTTGCCCTGAAAATAAGATGAAGACATGAAGTTAACACATACTGCGTTCATCAGTGGGGACTGCCTAGGAGCGAGCTGGGTGGAGGAGCAGTGTTGTGCTAGGGAGGTAGAACCATGATGTCCGCTTCTGTACACTCACAGTCAGATGAGCATCAGGGGCTCACATTTGATATCTCAGTATCAGCCCAGACGCGACACATACATTCCTCCTGGGAAATCCTGGGAGCCCTTAGAGGCTATGACTTTGGGACCAGGGACTGTGAGAACAGATGATTTAGGGGCTGCTTCTTTGGTGTCACGGTAGCCCTGCCACACCTTTCTTTGAGAGCCAGCTCTCTGTGTATCTGCAATCCACTCCTGGGAACAGCTGGGATAGCAGAGGCTGTGTCCTCTTATAGCTTCTAGGACCTGCAGCTTGCCTCTGACTCCTTAATGCCTCCCCTGCCCACCAGAGGCACTGGGACCTCTGGCCCCTCTGTTTAGCTTTATCTGGGTGACTGCAGAAATTGTCAATTTAAATGCGTGACTTCCTGAAGCATGGCCGTTTTGTTACAGGAGTGATATATACCTTCTGACATTAGGGAATATAACATCTGGCCTGTTCTGTCTTGACTATCTCTTGTGCCGAGTTTGTCTTTTCTAAAAATTGAAGAATGGATTCTGGGAACAGCAGAGGTTTAGAGTAGGAAATGTTTATTGATAGGTAGCTTTTGTCAGAGGAACCAGAGGGGGCCTAAATGGGTTTCCCAAGGACCCTACTTCACAGGGAAACTATAGAGTAATACATGTGGGTAGAGCGTGGGTTAGAGCTATGCTCAGCCAGTAAGGATGTAAGTATAGCCACTATGGTAATGTTGAACTGATGGGGAAGCAAGTCAGTGAGTGGGCATGGAAAGAACAAAGACTTTCCAGGAAAGGATGGGTCTGGGGGTCTTGGTCCCTGCTGGGGTGACGGATGTCTACCTAGGCTTCCTGAGGCCTATTGTTTTCCTTCCAGGAAGTATACAAGCCTGGTCTTTTCATTCTTATCTTGAGGCCTGATCTCCAACAGCTGTGTCTCCAGGCACAGCTGGGATGTGTTCACCTTTGTCCTGGTGCTGTCTGTCTGCCTAGAATATTTCTGCCTAGGTTCGCTGTTTATAATAAGTTTAAGAAAAGAGAGAGTACATATTTGAAAAGGAGTGAATCTTGCATCAGACGTGGCTAGTTTTTGGGCCAGTGTTTCTTCTCACTACCCACCGATGTGTGTATCTGGAGTATCAGAGCCGCGTCCACGTGCTTGTGCAAGCTGCGTGCATTGCGCAGTGGTAGCTGCGCTGTAGCCAGCCTCCGGACCCTGCCGCCCTTCGCTGCGGGGCTTGCACCTGGGGGAGGGACACTGTAGCGTAACAGTCTTTCAAATTCACCACCCAGCAGATTTTTCCTTCCTAGGGATCCTTTGTAAGTTGCCAAGAACCTGTGTTATCAGTCAGACCCTTGAAACTCGGTCAGGTTCTGTCTGCAAAGGGACAGAAAGTAAACATTTAGGCTTTGCCTGAATATTTAGGTTATCTGGCCTCTGTTGGACTACTCTGCTCTGTCATTGTGGATGAAAAGCAGCCAAATACGATGTGTAAATAGGTGAGTCTGACTGTGTTCTAATACAACTTGATTCGTGGCCACTTCAAATTTAAATTTCATGAATTTTTCACTTATTTTTTGGTAATCGAGAGCTTTTGCACTGAAACTTTCTTTTGAGACAGTCTTTTTAAGTTGCCATGTTGTCTAGGCTGGGCTGGAACTTTTGATCCTCCTGTCTCAGCCTCCAGAGTGCTAGGATTACAGGTGTGTACTACCATGCCCAACTTTACATATTCCTATATTGGTTATTTTAACTATAAAGAAATATAAAGCTGATTTTTAGCTCTTTAAAGCCACACAGACACAAGTGGTTGTGTGCTGATTAACTCTGGGGCTTGAGTTTGCTGAACCTTGCTGTGTAAAATGATTGCCTGCTCTGCTGAAAAAGGAACAAAACGAAGCAGAGGGAGAGTATTTTCCCATTTTTCTAGAGCTGCTGTCCTGCACTGTGTTTCTGGTCACTTGCAGTCTGTGCAGCCTGCTGTGCTGAGCAGAGCACATTGCAACTGCCTGTGATTCCCTCTTCTGTCTTGGATACTTCCTCAAAGGAGGGAGATCCTGAGCCAGCAGCTCCTAAGGTGGTTTTTGGTACTGGCAATAGGTTTCCCTGAGTTCACTGTTCTGTCCTAAGACTTAACTATTTTAGTAATTATTACCATAACTGCCAGTAGAACATTGTAGAGTATTTTTCTTTTCTTTTCTTTCTTTTTTGGCGGAACCGGGGTTTGAACTCAGGCCCTTTAGCTTGCCAGACAAGTGCTTATTCTACTGAGCCATCTCCCTGGCCCACACCCTGCATCTCTTGGAGGCAGCTTCTATACTCAGTCCTTGGGTCACCTGGGCCACGTGGCTGTCTGGGTTTGCCAGCTGGAGAGCAGAGTGACTGACAGACTCATCTTGCTTTTGCAGGGGGCGAATTCACCCGCCAGGCTGAGGTGACCTTCGTGGGACACCCAGGCAAGTTGGTCATCAAGCAGCAGTTTAGTGGCATTGACGAGCATGGCCACCTGACTATCGACACAGAGCTGGAGGGCCGCGTGCCACAGATTCCTGCCGGTTCCTCTGTGGCCATCGAGCCCTATACAGAGCTCTACCACTACTCGGGTTCTGGTGAGTCGACCCTGGCGCCTTCCATACCCTGCACACTGCCACCTCCTAGACCTGAAGCTGTCTCCAGGGCTCAGGGAGGAAACACAGAGGGCCTTCCGCACAGGGCACACTTGTAGAGAATTTAGTGCGAGGCAGAAAATAAGCATGACAGAATGATAACTTGGAGGTAATTATTTAATTTAATACTGTACTTAATAAACCCTAGCACTTGCCTTTATTCAGGTTAAATTTCCCAACATATTTTATAATTTAAGATAAAATAGTACCATTATAAAACATACATCTATTTGTAATTCTTTTTTTTTTTTTTTTTTTTTTTTGTGGAACTGGGGATTGAACTCAAGCCCTTGCAGTTGCCAGGCAAGCGCTTATTCTACTGAGCTATCTCCCCGGCCCTTTTGAAGATGTTTTTTAAGGAACTGTCTGACTGTTGGATGACTGTTAAACTGTTCTCCTTTCCTAAAGCTTAGGCTGCTTAAGTTTTCACCTGCTCATCCTGAGTTGAAATGACCACCTTTATTGATCAAATTGTTTTTTTTTCAGAGACTCAATTTTTAGAAACAGAGGCATTAAGTCAAATAGTAGGACCCTCCCCCTACTTTTTTTTTTTTTTTTTTTTTAAGGTTTTGGGGATTAAATTTAGCCTCCTTATAGAGCTTCATCCTCAGCCCATTTTAAAATTTATTTTGGTCTTTTTTTTTTTTTTTTTAAACTGGCAATTGTACTTTGCAGTTGCCAGGCAGGCACTGTGCTGCTGAGCTATTCTTTATTTTGAGACAGGGTTTTGGCTGAGTTGCCCAAGGTGGTCTCAGACTTAATAGTTTTCCTGCCTCAGCCTCCCAGGTGCTAGGATTACAGGTATGTGCCACTGTACTAACTTAGGCACTGTTTAAAGACTTGGCTGTCCAGAAAGTTTGTTCAGATACCCAGGGCTTTGCAACATGGTGCAGGTGGAGCCAGGGCAAGGAGCAGATGGCCTCTCTGCTGGCCAGCACGCGGGAGCTAGACGGGAGCAGCTCACACTGATCTTTTATGGAACTTCTGGCTTTCATGCTTCTATTGTGTACCAACTACAGCAGAGTACAAAAATATAAAGAGCCTTTTATACCTTGTTTTGTTTTTTTTTTTAAATAGAAAGTAGAAGTTTTTGTCACATGCAAATAGCAGCTTTATGCTGAGTGCTGAAGACTCTGCTGAGGTTTACTCATGACAATTTTTCCAAAAATGATTGCTAAAAATTTCATGTTTTAATGTTACAGAACTGATTACTGTCGGGCAATTTAGAGCAATCATAATTTATTATAGAAGGCAGTACATGCTCAATAGATGGTAGTTGATGTGGGTAATATCATTCTGCTTGATTCCACACCTTTTACTTGTATGACCTCATCTAATCTTCAGTCCTCCCTGTTTTGAGAAAGAAACTGAAGCCAAAGCTGCTAGGCACAGCTATGTGGACACACAGAGAGCTTGCAGGGAGTGTCAGGAATGTTACGTCCTTCTGAAAATGCTCTCTTTCCACCAGACCTTGATCTCTCATTCTGGGAGTCCGAGGAAGTTCCAGAGAACTGCTTGATGTGAAAAGGAACAGATACTAATAATTCAGGATCTTTAGAATTTTCTACAGGCATTCTACAGCCTTCTTTTCAATTGCTGAAATTGTCTTTATTAATAGAAATAATTTTAGAGCACAGCATTAACTATAAAAGTATGAATTATTTAAAACAATAAGTGGTATGGATAAGTAGTACCTTCATTGAAGGGAAAATCATAGTAGTGGAGGGAAGGCTTGATGTTTATTAACCTGCTTGTTAAACTCATGAAGAGGCATGCAGAATATGCTCTCTCATCAGCATGCTAACCTTCGCTCCGAATGCCTTCAGGGCAGGTTTGGCTGGCTTGAGTTGTGGGGATCGAACCACAGCAACCTGAACCTGACTGCTTTGTCGAAGCAGCCACTTAAAGAACTGAGCTAAGGGGCAGGCCCCCCTAACCTTTGTATCTAACTTGACTGACTAAGTGAATGTTTGGTATTTTAACTGATATAACATGTTCAGCCATTAAAGACTCCATCTTTTTTTTTTTTTTTT